AGAAAGGACATATATAATTACAGATTATATAAAAAAAACACGGCATCCAACAGAAAATTGGAATGATAGAGTCTTAGAAGCATTATGTATTCTAAATAACCGAGAAGTAATAAAGAAACTTAGACTTCCATTCAATGATTTAGATGTACAATATTTTCCAAAGATTATGAAATGCTCAAAAAATATAAATATTATTGCAAAATGTTTATACATGATATGTGAGTCTTTGGATGAGACTGACCAAAAATTACTATTGGACAATGTTAAATCTGAAAGTTTTAATTATGAACCCCTGTTAGATAATATAAATTATCTTGAATTACATATGTTATATTGGATGCAAATTAAATATATTACGATCTCGCAAGGTACGTTTATAATTTATTTTTTAATTTTTGAAAAATAATAGGCTATATATACATATGAGAAATGTGAATATTTAAAATATAACCTTAGTATTTATGTATCAACAAAATCATATTAATTAAACACAACTTAATGAACACACCAACTAATAGTAACGTAATATCAATGTTATAGTTTTCCATTCAACAATATAAATGTAATATAACATGTGTGTTATGTAACAGTTGTGTTGTTGAGTGGCAACTTGTAATGTTACTGTTGGTGTTCACTGGGATATGTGTGTACAGGTGTGTACATACAGGATGAGTTACTTTAGAAACCTAAATATATGAGGAAAAAAGCAATATAGAATTAAATATTCGGGACAGGGAATATAGGGTTTGTATGTGGATATAATTTGACGATCTTTGTCATATAGTCAATAATTCAAGGTCATTTCAAAATGGACTTCGTTGCTTTGCATAGAATCATATAGTTTCTTTAACACACACAGGTCGATTACTGTTTATTCTACGTATAAAAGTGCTAGAATAAGATAGTCGAAGGGTGAATGCTTTTTGAGATATTTTGCTTTTCATTCTCATATTTTCCAGTTCATATGTTATACTAGAAAATATGAGAATAAAAAGCAAAATATCTCAAAAAGCATTCACCCTTCGACTATCTTATTCCAGCACTTTTATACGTAGAATAAACAGAAGTATCTTATAGAATATTAATTTTTCAATAACATCATCTTAGAATATTTTTACATAATAATTGAAACATCGATCACAGATATCAATCATTAAACATTTGTGCATCGATATATTTACAAAATGCAATGAATTTTTTAAGATTTTTCGGTTAAGATTTTCTATTTGCTAATAGCAATCGATTCCACTTCATGTCATTCTAACGCTTTTCATGACTATTCGATGCATTATATTTTTGCGCACTTTTTTTTTTTTAAGACGAAACTGCGCTCATTTTCTGATGCTGCCGATGCAGTCTCCATTTGGTGCGTGTCCAAGCTGCATCCGTGGTTTCTTTGGTTGAGAAGCATGGTGTGCGGACTTGTATTCAACACATGTGCATGATCTTTCTCCTTACATACTGTTGTGAGCGTATTTATTTGTAAACGCACGCATATGGGATATCGTACACACTTCGACTGAAATTTTTATTGCATAATAATGGTGAATGAATTCGCACAGGTAAAATAAAAAGATCGTAGCATGAAATGATGTGTCTTATATTATGTTAGAAAGGAGCCTGAAAGTGTTATAAAATTTATTTAGATATTTTTGACATCAAATCTTTTCTATTTATTTAATTAACATAAAATACATAATATAATATTTTTTTCGAAAATTCTATATAAAATGAGCAGGCCAATATGAACCGGAAAAAAAAACCGATCTTCGTATTTAAAGTGATTACGTAATAATGAATAGATTTGGAACGTTTTCTATCTCGTCGTTCGTCCATCTCTCCTCTCCAGCTAAGTTTAAGGAAGTCGTTATATCTCCGAGTTCTATAACTTCAAAGTTCATCTGCTGTTTAAAATATGAGTGTTTCAATGATTTGAAATTTCAGTGATTTTATAAAACGTTTTATTCATATAATACTACTTCCTCAATAACGCTAATATAAACCTCATTTTTCCATATCTTCCCAGTGATATTGATAATGATATATAGTAATATTCTTAAGAATACTGCTTCAAATTGATTAAAATTCATAATTTTAGTTGAAAAATCATTTTTTTAATTTTTTACTTATTTTGCGCTTATTCTGCCGATAATATCTCTTATTTTATTTAATATATTTCTGTATATAAAGAATTAAAAAGGAGAAAGTAAATTTTAATATTATGTAGAAATGCTCCTGAAAAAGACTGGCGTAGCCGTTTTCAGGTTTCTCTCTGGCATAATACAAAATATATATCATGTTATTCTGTTGCATCTGTTCTGATCGTTTTGTTTCACCTGTGCGAATTTGTTGTTATTGTATAATGGGAATGTCTCTCTATTTTTGCTGGGGGTGTGTGTGGTGCTTCACAAGTATATGTGTGTTTGCATATACAAGTACGTTCGTGGCAGTGTATGGAGAGAAGTATTGTGCACGTGTGTTGGGCGGAATGTTGGTCCATGCACGATATACCGTGCAGTGTTTCTCATCCAAAAACATTGTATGGTTCAGACACCAAGTAGAGAGTTGTCGGCAATGCCAGAGGGTGGGCGCGGCGAAATAGTTCCGTCTTAAAAATGTGCGCAGATAGCGTATCAAACAGTTGTGAAAGGCGGTATCAAGTGGAGCGCCGACGTAGCCACACTCGAGTTTCTCTCGGCGTATAATAATGTCACGAAAACGAATAAGTTACATTATATCTAATATAAATGATATAAGATTAAGTATATTTTATCATTAATAATTGTGTTAAATGTTATTATTAATTATTTACTTCATTTCATTTCAGATAAATGTAATATGAAAAAATTATTAAAACATTTAAGAAATTTTGAAAATTTAAAAACAATATGTATGGATTTGGAAAAATTTGAAAATCATCTACATGTAGTCGATACTCGTGAAATTCTTGGAATAAGTGACAAAAATTGCCTTGAGCAAATTTCTTTAGAAGAAACATCTGTAGAAAGGCGGTATTATATTAAAAAAAAAATACGACCTATTAATAGTGGACTGTGTATCATTATAAATCAGATGTATTTTGGTGAAGAGGTATCGATATTGATAACTTATTGAAATAATTATTCTATCGAATGGGCCCAATCATCGTGACTTTAATACGTGTTGTCAAGGACATCGTCCTGAGAAATTTTCAAAAAAAATTTCGGCCGTCGTTCATTATTAAAAACTTATTAACAAAAGAAGCTTGAAAAATATCATATTTATTCCTGTTACTGCATGATATAATTTTCTATGTATGACAAAATATTACATGTATTAAATGTTTAATTATTTCAACGGAATCTGTAATAGATAGCACAGGTCTCCTACGTCTCCACGTCCTGATATCCTAAGGATAGAAGGAAGGACTTGGTCGTTGAAGGTCGTTGAGATCGAATCCGTGCAGGAACACGAATATTTGCATATAAAGTGCGACACAGCTTACCGACAGTCAGGAAACTGCTTAAATTAAAATGAGAATATAATTTTGTTTACCATCGCCAGGTAATATATGACTGAAAAAATTGTTCTTTAAGTTATCCAAGGTTTGAATAACAAGCGTGGTTTGGCATGAGAAGCACAACTAAAATATCAAGCTCTCGATCTCTGTTCAAGCATTGAAGAAAAGTCTTACTAAGCAGCGAAATATTCAAAATGGAAACTATATCGCGGGCAACAATTGCAGAAGCACTCTCTTTCTCTCTCTCTCTCTCTGCCCCTCCACCGTGAAAGCGGTATCTCCTCACTGATGGAAGAATGACGGATGGGCAGAAACGGTTCTCCAGAACCGAGACGGCGAAGCAGATATGTTCTCTCGCTAAAGCAAAAAAAGAACTGATTGCCTCACGCTCATATTCCCCCTCCCCCCGTTTCTTCGCCAAACTTTGGAAAAGATTCGCTGTTACTCCAGGCTATGCTCGTAAAGAACCCCGATCCGAATGATGGAGGTCTTCATTTGCAATTTAACCTCAAGGTCGCAAAAATTTTTGAAACAAACTTTTAAGAAGCAACAGCTAGTTCCAATCGGAACCTTCATCGTGCACGAGAGTAGGATGGACTCGCTGTTTCTAGAAGAGCGATGTCGCTTCTCCTGTGAGGAGGTGGTTCTTCAAATGGAAAGACAAACGGTTCTCAAAAACCGGGACTGCGAACCAGGTATGTTCTTTCATTAGGGCAAAGAGAAAACATAACCGATAGACTCATCCGTATATTTTTCTTCGCATATCTGCCAGGCAACTCTGCCTCGGGGAGAAACTCGCCAAAGTTTGGGAGAAAATCTTTGTGAAACAACAGAGAGCCTTTAATGGAACCTCTATTGTGAACGATGGCAAAATAGACTTTCTGTTATCCCGAGAAGAGTGGCAATGTTGCTTCTAAATTGAAGAAATGTGAAGAAAGAAGTTAGTGATTTTCAAATTTGAGGCATCCAACCAGATATGTCATATTATATCTAGACCGAATTTTGAAGCAGAAGTTGAAATAGAGAACTGACTCTCTCCAGGCGTCGATTGAAGACATCCTCGACCTGAATGTCAAAAGTAATCTCCCCCAAGAAGTTGTCCTGAAATACATATCTCTCTCTCTCTCTCTGCTTCGTTCCTTTATTCTCCACCTCGGGACAAGCTTGCAAAAGCTTCAAAGAAATAGCGAAGAGTTCTGGGAGACGGATCCTCCATCACAGATGATGAAAGGATTAATTTATTGTTCCTCTGGAAAAGCAACCTATCCGGTGAAAATGCTTTTGATAAGTGAACAAATGATTCTAGGAAATCGAGACTTTAAACCAAGTATATTTTCTCTCCAAGACAAAGAGAGAACATAACCGATTTCTTTTTATCCCCATATTTTCCTCTTCGTTGCAAAAAAATTACGCCTCATTATTCAGGAAAATGACCTTAAAAAGAGATGAATACTAGATGAAATAGCAGGTCCAGGACCTTTTCTCAATGCATTGAAACGCCATATCAGAACTTTTAAAAGCAAAGTTTTCAGTAAAGTTTCTCCTCGAAGAGGAGATTCGCTTACTGACGAACTACCTTTCTCGCCTATAACATTCTAGTCAGACATTTATTAATCCTACCCTATCATTCGTGGGCAAGACTGCGATCAACTTCACGCTAGACGAATAGCTTTTCTTATCCAATTGTGTAAAATGAGTCGCGAACTTACCAAGGTAGGCTAGACGCCTATAGCCAAGATTACGCACAAATCAGTGCACCAGCATCCAGTCTAGTAGAACCGAAAGTCAAGATAATTAGAATTGGGTCCGTTCGACGGAACAATTGCCTTTATTAGAAATGATTCTGCTGGATTTAATTTCTTAAAACTCTCTATGCTTCAAAAACCTCAAATATCAGAGATGATGTTTGTTTTAAAACCTTGGTAACATATGTTGGTTTCATGTACGTTTTATAAACGCATAAAACGTTTCGTCATCGTTTGTAAAAACGATGTATCGAAAATGTTTCTTATACGGCATATGTTACTTGGCAAATGTTTCCGAATATCTTATACCTAGTAAGCAATTTGTAAGCAATCTGACGACAGATTAGCGATAGATCGAGCAGAATCTGACAGCAGATTGATGGCAGAAAACAAGCAGGATTCGTAGCATGTTCCATTTAAATATATTGAAACGACAGATCATGCTCGATTTCTGCCGTTAGTCTCTTATCAAAGATACTTTGTCATTAGATCTTGTTATTTTCTGCCAGCAAGCTGCTCATAGAATTTGCAGCAGACACAGTGCGCAAAATCTGCTTTTATAGGTTTGACTGTCTAAATACCTATAAATCGAAATACTTGTAAATCCTATATATTTTAATTTTCAGTGTGAAGCACGATTCGGAACAAATGCAGATTGTATTAGTTTATCTAAAACATTTCAAGCATTTGGATTCAAAATTTACCAGCTTGAAAATTTAAAGAAAACAGAAATGATAGATAAAATAAAGAATATTCCAAATGAACATGGCATTAGCTATGACTGTTTGTTTCTTTGCATTTTAAGTCATGGATATAAAGGAGGTATAATTACATCAGACGAAAAAGAAGTTTCATTAGAAATGATTGAAAGAACTCTTTGTTGCATGGAATTAAAGAATATTATAAAAATTGTTATTATCCAAGCGTGTCAAGGAAAAACATGTGGTAAGAAAGCAAAATTAAATTGCTATAATAGAATAATATATGTAAAAAGAATATTAGATGTACACATTAACTCGGTGCTTTTTTTTCATGAAATTCAAAGTTTATTTACAAAAAGTACAAGTTTAATGTTCGAAATAATTTCTATTATTTTCTTGATTGACTTTACTCCATCTATCTGAAAGCTGATGAATGCCCTCGCGGAAAAAACTTGACCCCTTGACTTGATTTGACTCAATAAAGTCATCAATGTTTTTTCAGACCTTGTCAACTGTTTTAAAATGCGTATCATCCGCCATGATGATGATCATCCAGATGATGTTAAAGCGATCAAAATAAATGGGTAATACGACGGAGCTAGATTTGGCGAATAAGCCGCATGAGAGAGAATTTCCCAGCCCAATATGTACGTGAGATCCTTTTACGATATGTTGTCACTTTCAAATCATTATAGGGTTGGAAAAAATTTAAATTTGAACCAATTACAAGACGTTAAATGCAAAGGCACCGAATTAATTTGTACACCTAATATGTATACACACACACAACACGCGCGCGCGCGCGTATGTATAACAATAAATATTGTCACTTTATTTTTAGGTAGCATATATATACAAAAGGACAGTAATTATTTAACAACGGATGGCATATGTGATCCTTCCATACCTGTATCAGAGGATATACGCCAGTTTGAAAATTTTTTTATGTTTATGTCAACAATACAAGGCTTTGTATCAATACGTCACAAAGAAGAAGGTAAACGTTTAACCGTATTGTTTGACCGTTTATATGTAAAATTTAATTTCTATCTTTTATTTTATATAGGCTCGTGGTTTATACAAGAAGTCTGCAAAATCTTTCAAACTTATGGAAGCCAGATAACATTCCTAGAATGTGTCCGAGAAATAATGACATCTATGCGAAAGAAACAAGGGACGATAGGAAAAAGTCAAGTTGCACAACTATCAGAAATACGTCAAGATCGTTTATATTCTGATTTTCAGTTAAAGAATATAGTTGAAAGAAAAGAAAAAGAATATGATTAAATCTGTTATTTTAAACTACTACTAGTATTTTGCAATTATTTTGTCGTACTGTTTATATTTCACAATCAACATATAATAATATAATAATGTTATGATGTACACAGATTTATGCTTTATTGATTTTAATTGATTTTAAACTACTACTAGTATTTTGCAATTATATTGTCGGATTATTTATATTTCATAATCAACATATAATAATATAATAATGTTATATTGTACGGAGATTTATGCTATTCATCTTATGATTTATAATTTATTTTTCTTATGATTTATAAATTTATAAATATACATAACGAAAATAAGAGAAAAAGAAAGGAGTAAAGAGAGAGAGAAAGAGAGAGAGTTTTATATAAGTGATACAAATGAAACAGAGTAATCCTTATTCTTTTCTTGAACTCGTATATACTACTTACAACAATTAAGGGAACATTTGATACTTCATCAAAAAATAGGTAAAATTTAGGTAGCTATAACTTTATCAAAAGTTATCGAAATATAATTATAAAAAAAGTTTTAAAGTCTCTATTTCTGAACAACCTATATTGTTTGAATTTATTTTAATTTTGATCATTTTTACTTATAAACTGCGAACTAGGCAAGTAGACAATTTTCTTATCACTTTAAGGAGTGTCACAAGCGCAAGAAAAAATCAAATTAAATAAAATTTTCGACTTTTCTGTTTTAAAAGTTAATGTTTTCTCTATAATTTACTTTCGAACGAAATTTTTCTACAATTTCTTGTTTCGAGTTAACAAGGGTAAAAAAATGGTCACTTTGAATTTAATTGCTTTTTACTCTTAAAAATCATCTTACCGAAATTTGGAAACTTAAATATTGGAAGTTGAAACTTTGCAATTATTAAATAGTATAATTTCCGATTTGTTCTTAAATATTTATGAATAAAAATAATACAAATAACAATATGTCATCCGTTGTTAGATAATTACTCTGCTTCTTTTATACACATATATGCTACTTAAAAATGACAATAACATATTGTTATATATATATGTGTGTGTGTAAATGTATTTAACAATACAAATAAGCGAAAATATCGTAAAAATTCGCAACTTTTCACCTTTTCAATCAAATCCATGAAATGATTATATTGAACATTATAATCCCAGTAGGCAAATTGACCGCAGACTGCGTGCAAATGATTGGTTGCAAATTTGATCAGAATGCCACATCAAACCATAACCATCTGTGTTCATGTTCAGCTCGTGTTTTGACGACAGAGCCTGTTAACAGACAATACGAACAGATTGGCAGCAAAAATTGCGCTGAGCCTGTCGCCAAACTGCCCGCAGTAAGATATGTTCGGTTTTTACCACCGTATCTGTCATCAGATCGCTACTCAGGCTCTGCTCGGTTTCTACTGCCAATCTGCTTGTATTGCCTGTCAACAGCCTGTCGCATTTCTGGCAGCAGTTGGGTAACATAATGTGGTACAGAACAGAACCTGTGTTAGATTCGTTACCTTTCTACCATTAAAAATTTTTAACAGGCTCTGCTCGAAATCTGTTAATACAAGTTTGGCTATTTAGGATGTAAGGTTATACTATAAGGTTAATGTATACCAGTAAACCAGTATAAGGTTATATTATAAGGTTAATGTATACCAGTAAACCAGTACCATTCTCATTAAAATGTATAAGACTGTAACCTCCCTATAATTTTATTATAATGTTCGATTCCGTGAGGGTGTGTGCGCACATGCTTATTCGCAGCAGCATGCATCCTACACGCTCAAGTATACACATACGCACGCACATACATACTCATACACGTACACAAGTATGCAAATCCGACCGAATAACCTCCACATAGTGCATACTGGGTAATGCAAATTCCGGCGATATTTTTTCTTCGCGAGAAGATACGATTTTTTTCTGTTCCATTCCTCTTCATTCATCGCCAGAACAAAATCTTAGAGAACTTTTGTAGCCCCTCTCCAATTCCTTCCGTCTCTTGTTCTTCAATAATCACTCTCAAATAAATCAATCTATTGAACTCGTTCTTTTTTGTTTACATGTCTACGTCTCGTGTCATGAAAAAGTCGTCAAATTCGAATCTGCAAGTCACCATCTATACTCCTAGTCCACCGAAGACTCGTGTAAGGACAGCATATTCATGAATTTGATGCTTTGAATGTCAGAATTGCATCGCTTTCATCTCTTGGTATATTTCAAGTGATATTCTTGATAAATTTTGTATTTAGTTTCGTAATGTAGCAATTTCAGGAACATCGTCGAATAACACCTCAATCATCGAAAAATGTCAAATCCCATGTAAATCGCCCCTTCTTTGATTTATTTTATGAAAAAAAAATCTTATGAACATATGTCCTAAAGTGTTTTATTTTCAAAATACAGGGTATCAAAATTGATAAAAAATCATGAAAACTTCAATAATCTAGAAAACGTTTAGGGATATTTTATGCAAATTTGATGTGCATACATACATTATATCGGGATATCTAGGGAGTCGAAGTTAGTAGTCTATTAATATATTATAGATGCCTGTAAATGCATCTGGATATATATAATTAAAAATCATAGTAAATCTAATGATAGAAATATTAAGATATATGTGCCAATCAAGATATTTGACATTGCGACGTTATCACGTTGCGCCTGATTTTTAAAACAAATATGGGACAAATGGATTTGAATGGAACAGTAAGTTTAAGTGAAATTGAACAAGATTCAATAAGGTACTGAAGAAGATTTTTGTTCGTTTATGTCGATCAAGTTTCACCGTGAAATCAGTACGATGCGACCATGGCACGAATACGGGTCAAGTAATTTTATATGTACTTATAGAATACATCCCTACTTATCCACCGTATGGATACACAACGCTCGCGTTTACACAACGAACATCTCGGGTACTACTCGAACTCCGATCGCGGACGATTCTTCCTTCGGTGACTGGTGGTTCAAGAGGTGAGAGACCACGACGTCTGGAGGGGATAAACAGGGACTCCGCCCGAAGACCGGCTATAAAATGCCACCACGGAAATCAGGCTCAACCAGTCTTAATCGATAAAAGAAGCTCTCTTCTTCTGCTTTTTATTTTTTTCTTCATTTTCCCGCAAACAAGGCTTTTGTGAATCTGCTTCCGCTGACACGAAATTATGGAGCATACGGTAAAATTTGTTTTACTGTTTACCGCCATTGTTTTCGTAGCTGTCGCTGATGAAAATGAAGAGCAAGAGCGACCTAAAACTTTTCGGAGACTGATACCAGCTGATGTACTTCGTGGTAAGTATACATGTTCATTTCCGCCTAGTGTTTTGTAATCAAGATTACCTTAGATTTAATTAAATTTTCATCTAAAATGAATTATTAAATCAAATAAATAACATTATCATGTATTTTTCGCTATGTTATGAGACATTCACTATTAAATTTCATATATTTGTCATATCGTGACGAACGTAGTAGTTCCTCTTTAATTTAAATAAACTTGCTTTCTTATTTTTAATGCATTATATAAATTCTATGTGATTTATTACAAGACAGTTGAAAAGTGCAATTTCTAATTAAAGGATTTATTTTCTATCTTCTTTAATTCGTATATTTAACACAAAAATTATGTATCACAAAGATAGAGTGTTTTTGTAATATAATTTTTATTTTTATATAATTAATTTATAAATATAGGAGCTTCGAAAATTTTCTAATTTTTTTTATTTTTCCTCATTCACACACAAAATATTGTCTGTTAACTATAAAGTTAACTATAAAATATGTATATTATAATTTGGCTTTATGTGATCCTAATTTAAAGCTTTTTAGAAACTAAAAGAGTGTATTAGCCTATCAAACCAATTTTACGAATTAGAAATTTATATTTATCATGCCGTTGAATATCTTTACTGAAAATAACTGATTTTTTAGAAGAAAATAATCTCTAAGTATTATCAGTATTATATAAAATCTTATACTTACAAAATTATAGTATATCCACAGTTGGTTTTTTTTTTTAACAAAAGCAAAAAATTTTCTTGTTTTTCTTTATGTGCTTTACTTTGTTTTAAATATAAATATATTTTTTAAGTTTAATCAACTTTTTCATAAGACATTAAATTTATTATCGAGTGTATTTCTGAAGTAATTAAATTTGTATTAAAAAATATAATAAAAATATATTCATTATAAAAATTGTTATCGGCACATGATTTTGTATCTGTTATCTAAATTACAAACACCATTTATTAATCTGCGTAATATTTACAAATATTTCTACTCTTTGAAAATTTGTTTTTGAAATTTTTACTTTTCGTAAACAGATATTTGCACTTATTTCCTCAAAACGTTGTTCGTAAAAATTAATTGAGAATATCTGCATTAAAATCTCGGAGAATTCGGGAGACTGTACAGTGAGCAGATAAGTGGGACGATTTTCGCTATTTTCAACCGGTCCATGGAAGATATGCAACTTTCTTATGATATTGTGTCACGCTCGTCGACCAACTTCGTTGGAAACTTGATGGCATACAGAACTGCTAGTTCCAGTGTTAAATGTGATCCAAAGAAATACCATTTATATTTGTATTAAATATTTTATTATTATCATCATTATTATATTATTATTATTTTATAAAATTCTTATATGAAAAAGAAACATAGAAATAACCCACACGATAAATAATTTTTAAAAAGACATTTGTGAATATTTAGTTATTTTATTAACACGTTCGGAAATATACATTATATATCACATATTAAAGTATACTTTTTCTCTATAATTGTAAGTGTTAATAAAATATTTGAAATATTTATAAATTATATTAAAAAAAGGAGAATATTTACGAAATTCCCAAATTTAAAAATTTTTTGGGAGACAAAAATATACGTAAAATTCTTTACTGTATATAATATATTATTGATAATATAATTGCAAAAATGAAGAAATTTTAGTTTATTTATCTTTAGACGTATTCCACTACTAATTATACACAAAATACTTACAATATGTGAAGGATATGAAGAGTTCAATAATGCAATATATTCTATATCGTATAATTACGTTCAATTCCTGATAGTAAAGTTATTGAAGATAGTCAGTAATTTAGTTGCTATAATATAATAATATAAATCGATGCTAAAAAAAATTATCTATAACTAAATATTTAGATAAGAAGAATTGAAAAAAACGCTCATATGTTTTTCATACGTTAGTGATCACTAGAAAATCATAATCGATCAATAGAAGCTTGTTTAACCAATAACTCAAAAACTTGTTTGTTATTTGCAAAATAATAAGGAACATTTTTGTGCAGACTACCCTAATCTACAAGTACGAACTGTTATTCTTAACAAGTTTAAAGTTTGAGGTTTAATATACTGATGACTGTCGCTAGGTAGAAGTTGTCATATACTTGTAAATTAGGCCACTCTGAACAAAAACCTTTATATTTTTTTACTATTTTGCAAATAAAACACACAAGTTTTTAAGTTATTAATTATAGAAGCCTCTATACATTGCTATTTCCAACAATTAATAACTCGAAATTTTGCATGTTATTTGCACAATGACTCGTCTCAATCTATTTGCACGAAGTTTGTCCCTTTGCTATAAGGCCCTATACAATATGCGTATGCATATTGATTTGTGCTTAGTTTTCACTTTAACTATTGATACAGACGACGATAGAATGAAATCATAATGAAATGCTTATATATAGTATTTAGGAAAGTCTAATGTTGATAATATAGTTGCTAAGACGTTAATTCCAAAGAATATTATTATTAATTGCTGCTGTAAAGTTCCGCAGAAAACACACATATGATTAATGTAATGATTACAATTTTATATAAGTCATAAGTTTATAAATTATAAAAAATAATACACGCATATTTCAAATATCATTATATATATCTTGTGATAGTTTCTTTCATATTGACCTTGTGATATTTTTTGCTGCTTGATAATTATATGCATTCGTCTCCTTAGTATTCGTCCATGCATGAATTGACCTTGGTACGTGAGACTATAGACGTCCTTTTTCTTGGTTTATCTATTGTCCATTAATGTGCGAAGTGCCTTATTTACAGACCGTGTATTTATAATTCGCAAGAATATCTTATGCATAGAAGGACAAAAATAGTGAATAACGTTACTTGGAACGTCAAGAATACCGCGTGAAAGTCTCGTGCAGTAACTAACACTTTATGATCTTCTTGTGACCCATTTACTGTTTTTCTCTTTTGCTGAATATCACTTTCTGCTTTGACGGTTTATAGGACGAAACGTTTCTCTTTCAACGTAAAGATATCATTAATTTCAGAAAATATCGATATAAAACTTATTAATTTTCAAGAAGAATATTTCAATAATAACATGTAACCGAAAACATATCTCAAATTAGAAAGGTAAAAAGTTTAATAATTTTAAGGCGTATGTCAGAGAAATATAAATAAATTTTCAGTAAAAATATCTTTTACATAAGTAAAATATATAAATCTGTTTCTTTTAAATTCTAAATATTAAATTTACTTAGAGATAAGAAAAAATTATAATTTAAAGAGTAATTCATGTGCTAATTAATATCATTGCATGATAGTTTTATCATCAAGTATTACGTTGAGGTAACATTTCTTCAATATGTATATATATATCGAGATAAGTTTTTAAAAAATTTTTGTTCTCTAGATCAATGAAGAATTAAACTCATCCAAAAATTGTTCTCTAAAACTCAATTTGTTTAGATTATGTAAACTTTTCATGAAAATTATGAAGTAAAAAATATCTTTTATTATATTTTAAAATTTACATGTAATATAAAATGCACATAAAATGTTCTGAAAATATAAACGTATTTCCTTATATATAATTATATTTTCGCTAAAATTTATTTACAACAAGAATATAAAGTATTTTACATTATTAATCTCTCTCACTCACACACTCTCTCTCTCTCTCTCTCTCTTTCTCTCTCTCTCAGAATATTTATATAAGACCTCACACATAACTGATGAAAATTGAATTTCGATGAAATTGACTGAAAACTTGATATAGTTCTTATTGCGCAGATAAAAAGTTTCAATGGACACAACCCTCAATAATCATTTAACTTGTACGAGGCATTAATCGCCATAGAAAATCGCTAATATTGCAATTTTTTTATTTCAATTGAGTAAGATGTATTCCCACTTCATTCCAAATATATATTTTCATTTGTGTGCTTTAAAGTAAAAAGTTTAAAAAATAACATTGAGTTGAGTCCCATGACCTGTCTTTTTCAATGTAAGTTAAGTCGTAATAAAGGTTTTTATATCGATAAACTTAGGATCTAATAAGCAATAAATATGAAATCAATCTTTTGAAATATAAATTTTATAAACATTTTGGTATAATATTAGGTGTAAAAATGAATTCCTTGCTTTTTTTGCAAAATTCAAAATTTATTTATAAAAGTATACAAAAAAGACTTTAATCAATAAAATAGTCTCCATCATTTTTGATGACTTTGAGTCACCTATTGGACAATTGACGAATCCTATTACGATAGAACTGCGGTTTGGTTAGCCGGGGTGTTCTCCGTCATCTTCTTTGCATTCTCCTAATCGTAGACTTAAAATGTTTCCGTGAATGCTGTGTGAGTCATCAAGCAACCTCGAAGGGCTGATGTAACTTAGTCGTTAATTCAACAGTCGTTGACGCCCATCGTGATGACGTGGCCAGGCGTTTGTCGACGACCAAAGTGTTCGTTGCCGAGTTGCGTAAAAGCGGCAACTACCAATCCGATGTATGACAGTGAAAGTGTTTCTCCTTGAAGTTTCTAGCACGATCACTGTGCCGATGATGACGACGTCTCCGTTGTTGTAGATGGACATCAAGACTGTCGTTTACAATATAGTTAACCCCATAGTGCTGTCATCCGTTACCCGTTTGTCGTCATACAATTTCGTATTGAGAAAAGTGAAATTGCATCTATCGTTATTATTGAGCGTGGTATTGCGGATTGTTGAAAAACTTCTTACGGAAAAAAGAAGATGTGCCAAGCAATATAAAATATTCAAACATTTCTATAAAATAGCCATTTTAACATAATTTTGATAATGAGTCGCCCTCTCATATCCCGCATTGTTTTCGAATTATTTATCCGTTTATCTCTTCCTGTAAGACTCATTTTGTATATGCAGGAAATCTGGAAAATTGTGAAATATTTTTACTAGAGATTCAATGCTATTTCACTTATTTTCGCGTCGAAAGTTTCCCACTCGACGTTTGTGATAGAGCACGTTTGTCTTATGTATTTTAACGTTATCGACATTTCTAGTTTCATAATAAGTGAAGACGTTCTCCTGAATTGAAATTTAACAGCCATGCCGGATATAACTTCAAGTGAATCTCTCTGTACATTGCAGATTTCCCTGGTATGTGTTTTGCATCAACGAAGTGTGCAACGATTGAGCCAACGAAGACATGGGAACTATCACCTTTTTGTGGCCGTTCCACCTGTGTGCCAGCCGATGACAACTCTGGTCGTTTGTTCGAATTAGTGGAAGACTGCGGCCCTCTGCCTAAAGCCAACCCTAAGTGCAAACTCTCCGATAAAACCAATAAGACCGCTAGTTTCCCCGACTGCTGTCCGATTTTTGAGTGTGAAGATGGAGCTAAACTGGAATATCCAGAAATTCCAACTTTGCCACCACCAACGGAAGTAGAAACAGAGAAAGCATCAGAAACTGTTGCAGCACCAAAAGCCTAAAGCTCAAAAATAAAATCACCAGAAGGGAAAGTTACGATGTAGCTATTACATTAATAGGAATTAATTGATTTTAATCGTGAAAAAAAAACGTTAAATTGATCAATGCGCAAAATAACAATCATATAAATGAGAAATCCAACAAATGCATATTTATATACTGAATTTTATGAAAACAACTTTTTAATAGAGAAATTTAATTTTAATAGAGATTTATCGTGCGACATAAAAATTATATAGTAGATATGCCTAGCGTAAAGCAATGTATAGCCGTGTGTACGTATATATGAAAGATATATAAAACAATTTAAAAGGTATATTTAACCATTCATACGATAATAAAGTTGCTTACGCTAATATTTCTTAAAGGATATTAAATAAATAATATACTGAACCATCTTATTTATGTTCGAGGAGAAGAAGTGTACAAAAACTTTCTATAAAGAAATTGTTTTATTCTGAAAGAAATATTGTAGTATGCAAATTTTATAAATCGAATATCAACATCGCAAATATTCGTGCTGATTTGAGTCATTAGTTAAAAATTGGAAATTGCCAGATTCTGGTTGAAGGTAGGCTTCATATATGCTATGCCATTCCCCAGAGATTGAAAGTTGCTAAAAAAGTTTTTGACCAGGGACATTCATTTCTAAATAATTATGCTTCATGATTGTTGTTGAAAAAGGAAGCAACGATATATCAAAGAACCTAGATAAATAGCACATAAAATATTCTATGAACAATTTGATGAAATACTCTTAATTTTTATGTGCTTTTAGCATATTCTATGAATGTACAAATATTTGCAACAAGAAATATTCATAAAACATTCGTAGAATATTCCTGTGCTATCTGGAAAGCTGTGATTCTTTAATAGTTTGATGCTTTATGTCATCAATAAGGATGGTTGTCTACTTATATATTTTCATATTCAACAGGAAAGTGATAAGATTCAGTCCAAGTTGGCGGCTTTGTGTTGAAAAATGTAGTAAGTAGTCATCTTACATTAGATTGAATCATATCAATCATTTTGTATCGATTATACGTAATATGTGAACAAATAACCCTCCTTACTGATAAAAATAAAACGTCAAGCTACTAGTTACAATTTTTTGATATATCGTTATTGTTTGTCTTCGAATAACCAACAATCACGACGTATAACTACATATAAATACGCCTGGTCGAAAATTTAGTAATTCTCGATGTAGACAACAGTTAAGTATATATGAATCTTGGCTATACATATGATGTTGCGCTAGATTTGTCTGGTGATGGCCTAATTCTCTCCTAATTAATTACCACTCGATTGTGAATTATTTAATACGATTGTGCAATGTTTATTCGCTGATTATGACGAAGGTTATTGTAATATAATAAAGTGCATAAATAAAATCCGTTTTGAGTGTTAAATGGTGTAGATGAATGCGCCATTTTTACGCGCTTTCGACGCGTGTATCTATCTCTACAGAATTAACATTGAGCGATCGAATGTATCTTTATTACAACGATCGATGCCAGCCACACAATAATGCTATGTGTATCTTTCGCACGCGTTATATTAAATGTCGTGATAACAATTGGTGCCTCACATGAAATAAACGCGCAAACAATATTTAAGCAGTGAGATCGACTACTTGAATATAATAAATTTATGGCAAATGCTGCTTATATTGTGTTATATCCGAAAGATGTCTTTGTTCGGCGGTCCGGAAGTGCGCACGTATGTTAATTTAATTTCTGTATCAATCAATGGCATTGTGAAAATCGTCTTATTAGACGCCTAGATTCATTACTGTGTGTATATACGTGTGTGCGTGTGTATGGAGGAGAGGGAGAGAAATTGTTGCAACCGGTATTGATCATTGAAATAAAGACTGACGCCCATAATTTATGGACGCTAGTCCATAATCCAGAAAGCAATAGATGTACTAGAAATTTACAGACGATTCACATACGCTCAAAACGAAACTTATTTTTGCATCTTACAACGTTTTAGACTGAAACAAGTTTAGATCACCTCGGAAATAGTTAATGACCCTATAAATTCTATAATAAACTGAATAAATCTTGTAACGTCATTAATCGCTCCCGAAGTGATGGAAATCTATTTTCAGTCGAATATGATATCGGTGTACTAGCGCTCAACGTGACTGAATCCCGCCACCTAAAATAATTTAAACTAATCTTATATAAATTCAGACTTTGTCTTTTATGCTATTTTCTTGCCAGTAACGAGCACGATAAAAGCTTCTCATTGCACTTATTTATTTTATGTTTTATATTGCAATATTTTCATAATCTTTTGAATCATCAAAATATAAATATAAATAAAAATATAAATTCGCTCATTTATTAAATTAATCCATATTCTATAGCTAATACGTCCTTAAATATACAGAATGTAAATGAATATTGTTATAAATTTTTAGGGAACGTAAGCGAGTCATAGTTGATCAACTTTTTATAATTAGGTGTGCAAATTCATTCAGTGCCTTTAGTTTTATCCATTTCAAATAAGCATTTTAAATCTAATTATTCTTCTGTTGTGGTTTTAAAGATCAGCCATCTATGTTTACAAAACACCACATAATATCGCGTATCAATATTATTTCGGAAAATAGTAGTGAATAATATAGCTGTCGATAAAAAGTGCATTTTCGGAATTGCATTTTTTGCATTTGAAAAAATGCTGCTGAAGTTACAAAACTGATTTATTTGACTCTTAGCAAAAGCGCAATAAATTATACAACTTATGAAAAAAGATATCGAAGGTTTCGAAAAGATTTTTCCTAGATAGTCGGTTCAGTGATAACGCTCGAATTCACATGGTGAAAGGAATAAAATACTATACATTGGGTCAACAAGCCGTGATAAGACGAAACAAACGCTTCAATGGTGCCCAAATATACCCAAAATTGCATATGTGACGCATAAAAGAGAAATTTTTTCCATACTTATAGTGCGAAAACATATCCGGATATGAGTATGTATAATAAGAAATTAATTAATTATGCGGCCGGCTTAAGTACTTTAAAAGTTTATAACGGACATTTATTCATATAAAATCAATGACGAAAGGTTAAAAAAGAAAAATAGTAAAATTAATATCTAATATTATAAAAAGATAATTTAAAATAAATATAAATTCCATTATCTGAAAAGATTTATTTGGAAATAAAAGAAATATTAAAAAGAAAAATAAACATTATAATGTTTTGTAAAGATCTACTATATATATATATNGGTTAATAAATGAAGGCAGATAAAAGTATTTAATGAATATTAGCATAGATGTGGAATTTCAAGAAATAAAAAAAGAAATAAACTTATATTGAAGATAAAAAAATATGTACGAATTATGCCAATGCACGTTATTTCTCCTGAATTATTCAACTCCTTAAGTGCGGAATGGTCGGAAGGTTCAGATACTTTACAACATCTTTTAATGATGTTAAAACTGTAATGACATACCTTTTAGCTGTCAATTGAAGCCTTCTGCAACATAAGACAAATCTTTCCCTAGCAGAACATAATATACGTATCGAAAATATATGTACTTATATGCTATTAAATTAATATGAATTTAATTCATGTTGTATATTTTTCTCTCGTTCGTCCCGTTTCCTTTTGAACATTCTTAGAGTAAAAATTAAATAATAAAAAGTGATACGATTACGATGTTGTTAAAATTAAGCCATTATTTCTTCCTTATCGTTTGTAAAAGTATACGTGATGTAACCATGTATGAAATATATATAATGTTTGGTTTTCTGATGATTTTGAACGCAGTGGCAAAAAATTCTTTGTTGAATCAGTACAATGTCGAGATGTTAATACTATCGAGGAAATTATGCAACGTCGTATAAGAATAAGATCGATTATTATAAGTGATTATTGAAAAGTTTACAATAACTAAGCAATTTAGTAGAACAATCTCACAATCAATTAATGTACCACAGTATACTTACCGGTAAATATACTGAATAGGAGACTCAATGACTTATATTATAGAGGATCGCTTTCGTGAAGTAACCTTAGGAAAGTTCTATAGTCGCTCATTGTTTGTTAAAATGAAAGAAATTTAAATTGTTTTAGTTATTGATGCTTAAATCTTTTTCCAACGTATTGTTTGAATCTTTTGCCTTATTAAATTAAGAAGTCTATTTTATACTAAAATAACAGGTGCTGAAAAAATCAGATCATTACGCAAGGTTTAGAAATTGAACTTTAGAATTATTCCGTCTTCATGAGTGTCGCTTTCTTCTCATCGGTGCTCCAATTGTCAACTTGCCTCGAAAGACTTGGGAGTTCTTAAAGATTTTCTTATTGCAAAAGAAGTTCCACATCGCAATTTCTTGCACACACAACACATACATTCTCTCGCTCACTACCAAAAAGTGCCTGCGGAACGCACGACCTTTCGATAGTATCGGTAACCCCTTCTTCCGCATTTCTTTCTCCTTCTCTTTTCTCCGCATGGCAGTCGATTGTCTTCCTCGATTGTCCGTCTTCCGCCTTTTACGCCTTTCGGCATTGGTCCTCCCAGTTGCTCTTATTCGGAGGTTTCCCAGAGCCTCGTCGGTATCCGTGACATGGTTCCGCTCGAAAATCTGCAAATGATGAGAGTCTCGGCGTTTCCTTGACGAGTTATCGATAGTGAGAATGTATCGTAAAGGGCAATCACCTGATATTCTCGCAGTATCCTCAATATCGGCGCTTTTCCGCTATTTTGGATGGGCCTTCTTGCTTCTCCCTGGTCTTCTTGCCGTCAGGTGAAGCGTAAGCAATACAATTTCGAAGCGCAAGAGCCACCACTAGAGGGCCCGCGCACGAAAGGTGCGTGGTCCCTGCTACCTAAATAAATTTCGCACAAGCAAAAAATTATATTTAATCGCGCGATCGCAGGGCCTTTAACGCGATAACGCCTTCTCTTATAGGCGCCATATTAAAAGCTGCCACATCACATCATGTAACAAAAGATATACAGATCAATTTCTTGTTAACAATGAAAAAGAAAGTGCAATTATGATTAGCTGTTTGGAAATGTTTAAAAGGAAATATAAAAGAATATAAATGTTCATATGTTTATTCACAATATGTTACACAATAATCTGTGCATATAGATTTAAAATAAAAGTTGTAAAAATCAAGTTTCGAACCTGCAGCATTTTTGTCGTAGTACGAGAGTGACTTGAAAAGTAATTTGGTCTGGACACTTACAGAGAATATGTGCAACAACTGTATATGTGGTGATAAATTTCCCTTTCTTGTAATAACCTACGCGAAATTTCAAGTCATTCTGCCATTAATTCTTTGTTTGTCTGAATTGTTTCAATATAAGCGTTTCGGACGATAGTACAAAATGAATAAAATTGGATTTCGAAATGTGATTCAATTCTTATTTTTAGAAGAGAAAACGACGAAAGAAATCTATGAAAGGATTTATCCTGCGTTGGATGACTCATGCTCTTCCTATGAAACCGTTCGACTTTGAGTAAACGAATTCAAGCGTGGTCCATACAATATGGTTTTTGTCCGAATGAAAGTGCACGAGATAGCAGAGGCCAACTTTGAGCGTCTTAACTGAGCGAATTCATTTCATCTTGCATAATGTAATGAATATGAAAAAACTTTCCGCAAAATGAATTTTGTTCACTGTCAAACAAAAGCAAGTTTGAATGCGAACATCATCAGCCGACTGACTTTCAAGAGATGTTTAAGAAGAATACAATGGATTTCATACGGCGTTTTGTAACCATGGATGAAACTTGGATTCATCATTACACACCTGTAAGTCAAAAACGCAATCGAAACAGTAAACTGAACGAGATGAACGATGATTTGGAAAAAGGTGAAAACCACCGTTCACCATCAGCTGAAAAGGTATTAATGACATTAATGACATTAATTTTTTGGGATGCAAAAGTAATTATCACGATCGATTATTTTGAGAAGGGTAAAATCGTTACGTTACTGGCAAATACTATAGAACACTTTTGGAGAAGTTAAAAGCAGCGATTGCGGAAAAATGTCCCAGAATGGCCGAGAGAAAAAGGTGGAATTATTTCACCATGACAATGCGCCGGTGCATTCAAACCGGTTGCCGTTTAGCAAAAATTGACCGAATTGAAGTTTAACATTCTTCCGCATCCACCGTATTCGCCTGATTTAGCTCCCTCAGATTTCCATCTGTTTTCCCAAAACTCAAAATTTTCTAGCTAGAAAAAGATTTGGGTGGGAATGAAGAGGCCGTAAACTTACTATTTTAAGGACCTCGAAGAAATCCACTTCCGGGAGGAAATCGGAAACCTAGAGAAACCAGGTTGGAGGAAGTGCGTTGAACTTCGAGGAGATTATGTTAAAAAAATAAAGTACCCTATGAAATTAAAACCTTTATATCAAACTAAGTTACTCTTCAAACTACCCTCGTAGACAAGTACCTTATGCATTCTGCTATGCCGCTGAACTCGAAAGATGTCGAAAACTCGCGGTATATAAACTATGGTATATAAACTACACATAAAACTTTCAACTCAATTTTCTCGTGAATACTTGAAAGTTGCATTAAATAACTTTACCATGCATTATAGTGGGAATATAGCATTATAACATATTTCAAGTTCGGCGAAATTCTAGAGGACAATCTCTGGTGGTCCCCTTATTAGTGTTCTTTAATAAACTACGATTTGCATAGTTTAAGTGCGATATGTTAGAAAAAGATAGATATTCCCAACTTATACCTCTTTCTCTCTCTTTCGGATTACGTGGTCTGAGATCAATTGCCGCGTTCATTCTAGATTGAGTAGAATTCAGTGGCAGACACAATATATACAAGTTTGTATATTATATCTAAGGCTAGATGTTTATTATAGTACAGATATCTATGACTCTTACGATAATTTGTGTGCGAAAGCTACAGACATCTATGTAACAAATAGATTTCTAATTCAAGCGAAATGCATGTCCGTAGAACATATGAAATCTCGCGCACAGTCATCTGTGCAGTATAACAATCACTTTCGGATTAGTTGAATATTATATATATATATATATATATGTGTGTGTGTCTATAGGCACATGTATCAGGAATAATAGAACGTTCTTTTGTTTTAACAAAATTCAATCTTTATTTGAAAATAAATAAAAAGAACTCAATCGAAATATTCCCTGTTATTATCGATGATCTGCCATTTTCTGCGGGCAATTTGCGAATTCCCAGGTAATAAAAGCTTACCAGGTTTTGCTAAGCGATAAAGTCATTATTGATGCTTCATCGGACTTCTGAAGTGTATAAATGATATTGCATCGTCCGGAATAGATGGAAAGGATCATATCTAGTGAATACGCATGCGGAAGAAATAACACAACGCGAAGATGATCTGCTTTGTTGCTTCAGAAGCATGCGAGCCATGTGTTTTTACACAGCAGAGTAACTATACTAAGCTTTCTTGCCTAGTAAATAACCTCTTTTCCTCCAAAGTTTCGCTCAAATTGATGAGTTGCTGCGGTCCGCCGTGACTGTTTCAACAGCACGCCTTCCCAGTCCCATAGAACAAAATCTTCTTAGTGTGAGAAAATTGGGCTTTTCAATGGATGTCGTCCAGAGTTAGCCAAGTTCTACTTATGATTTTTTGCGCTTGGGGTTGTTACATAGGATCTATTTTTCATTACCCGTGATTATTTAGTGGTAAAAACATCCTTCTTTCAAACCAAATTAGCAAAGACAGTATGCGGTATCGTACCGGTGCATTTTGTTCTCTTCAATCAATTTATCTCGGCATCTATTTTCCTCCTTTCCTTCTTTCTCATTTAACACAAATGAAAATGGTTTTTCGACTGACTGTTCCGCAAATTCTTTTTGCGCTGCATGATTTGATTTGATAATGTCTGCAGCTCGTCCGATTCAAATTTGACAGTTTATGGTTTGTCTTTTAGATAAAAATCTCCGTAGCGAAATTTTCTATGCCAATTTTTACATATTGCGTGACTTACAGCATTATTATCATATGCAATACAAATCAATTTCGGCGGCAAATGTTTTTTTTCTTTTTTTAAAATAAAGTGCTAAATAAGTGGAATACGCTCTTTGATTATCATGAACAATATTGACATTTGAGATACGTCGCTTGCTCCACCATTGACGTTTTACAATCATTAATGTCAACAATTCAAAATCGCAAAAGGACGGGAAAATATTTTGATTTAAAATTTTGGTACAAAATTTAAAGGTAAAAACTTTCTACTAGTAATAAAGATACATGTGTATGCAGACACATATAGATATTACATTTAACCAATAAGATATACATATCTCCTACTTTAAACATGTGGTAATATACAGTTTCTTAGTGTTCACTTTTCTATTTGGGAACAAAGCAGATTTAGCAGTCTAGTTATTATATAGATGTCTGTGGCGAAAGCTCTGAGAGCTGAGCTCCACGTGGGAGGTACCCCATAGCACGGGGCACATAACGCGACAATGATGAGAGGTCGTGAGACAAATCTCTCTGACTAAAACCTCTCTATACGCATGTTAGCTATATCACAGTCTATGTCACCAACCTCGACAGACTTGTGCATTAATGCAATACAATTATATTACGCAATTAAGATATTGACGATCTTTTATCGTTATTTAATTATTTGAAAATCATTGAATGTTTGTGTAAACAGTAAAGCATAGATTAAATATTTTTCGATCTCCAGCCTACCTACAAAAGTGAAAACCTATAAAAGCCAAATCAATAATTAATATACCTCGTGTGACTCGTCTATTAGTGATGCAACTACTCTTTCGTTATGCCAGAGATTGGCTGAAAGGCAATCGTACAATACAGGTTCCTAAGCGGTATCAGTGATGTGTAAACAAGGTTACATGTGCAATATTTATGTCATATTATACCGCATCGGCTTAAATGAAATAATTTTGACACTCTACAATTTGGTTTTGGGCTGGACGATTAAAATCATTCTTAGTAACGAAAAGGTAAAGAAAAAGAATATAGTCATATTAAAAATGCCATATTCATATATTCAACATATTCGAAAACGCCTATATACGAGCTACAAGAAGATAGTGAAGTATTTATGTGTGTTAAAAAAAATTTTTTTAATGTCTTTGATGTACACTGACCAATACCATCCACAATGTCGAGTCAATATAATCATTTAACATATCACTTAATATTTTGTAAGATGTTTGAAACATCTTTTTTTTAGAAATGCTTCGTTTTTCAATATATTTAAAGGTCTCATGGCTTTGCTCATTCTGTATACACAAGCACGATTATGCCGCCCGTGCGTTGCTTGTGCGTAACGCTTAATATGAGACAGACTACTGTGTCTCTTGAGATTGATAATCTAATTGATACCTGCATTATTAAAGAATTAATTATAAATATTAATTTAAAAATATTTCAGTCTATGATAATTCTGTTCATATATCTGAATTTGACGACTGGAACATTTTTGCAATATAAAAACTTATTAAATTTATGCCATTATAAATATAATTCAGATATGTGCGTAGTGTAGTGTAACTATCATGTAATATAGTTATCATTAATTCTTACCTTCCAGGTGTATGGTCTGAAGCCAGATATTTGACGTTTCTACCAACACCGGCTCCACTATTTCCCAATATTATTCTCATATGAGTATTTCGCGAGAAGTGTGTATCGGCTGAATTTCGTTTATTGAAAGTCTTCGAAATATCACGTCCGTTTTCTTTGTCCTTTCCAATGCTCAAACCTAACATTTCATTTGTTAATTCAAGCGGTTTAGCAATGTTATGTTTGTCTATAGTTTTGATGTTAATTGGCTCATATATGACCGTTGAATGATTATATCCTTCCGTTTGCGTTTTATGTAGTATATTTGAATTTCCCATCAGCAATGATACACCCAATTGACTTTGCATTACGTTGACGGCTGTTTGAGAACTAGGTGGGCTTGTATTTGTGGGCGAATAAGGAATAAAACTGTCGCTAAATGGAGAATGTGGTGGAGAAGCATATATTGGACTCTGCGGCTCGCTTTTTAAAGGTGACAGCAGTAATTTGCTGAGTGGTCTACTCTTTGCTCCTCTTGAACACTGTTGTAATTGTTGCGTGAAGGATAACGGAGTCTGAAATTAAACCAGTTTAAAAATCTCAACACGACTCTAGTTAGTGAAATCAAATACAACTAAAATAATACTTGTAATTATATAATTATATAATTTATCGAAAACAATATTTTTCTAGTAGTAGCTTTAATTTCGCACATAAATAAAAATAAATATTTCGAACAATTAATATTAGGTACTTTCACATTACCTGATAAGTAACAACCGAATTTTTATTGAGTTTCCCTTGGTCACTTTTAATACTGCCAGTTAAGTTACTGCTTGACTTGCTATTGCTCGAATTATTTCCTAAAGAAATACAACTGCGCCGTTTTGTTGAATCTGGAGACTCTGCTGGACTATATTGCATTGATAGGGGGTTTAGGATTGCTGAGGAAGGCTTAGTTTCAATCGTCGAATCGGAGGTTATAGAAGTAGCACTACTGCTACCACCTGAAAAAATTTCAACTGCAGGTTAATATTATAGATTGACTAATAAGTATCATTATATCGCATGTATAAATTCAACCAACGCAAGATAACCGGATTAATCAGAGCAGAATTGTAAAAATGTCAATACATAATTTAGTAAGTTTTGCGCAACTAAAACACGATTTTACACATCAATTTTATTCGTAATAATGAAAATTGGACAAGACGATGGGATTTTTCATTTAATCCTAAAAAACTAAACATGAGTAAAATTTACTCAGGTCAACTTTCCAAATGTTATCACTCTTAAAATATAAGGGTTTGCCAGCACTATACATTAAATCTAAAATTATTTCACTAATTTCTCCATTGAAAATCATCCGAACTTGGCTATTTTTTGTCACCTAATCGTTTTAGACAAGGGAGACAGCAAAATATCGCTTGGCAAATTTTACCCATGTGTTTAGGGTTTTCGTTCGAAAATTCACTTTTAATTTTTTCTTGTATGAAATATGATTATCTTTTGAACATGACTGTATTGATGAAAACAACGCCGAATATACGACAAACTTCACCTTTGTACATTTGTTAAAACATATATTTAAAATGTATGTTTATTTAAGCTTATATATGTTTCAATACTTCTTCACACATATGTTACGTAAATCGAAAATTTAATACACGAATAATATTAATTTATTAATTTGTTTATGTTTGAGTCTCACTGCTTTATATATCGACGACGCATTCGTTAATTATGTTTTAAGTATTAACTGAATTATCTTGAGATTGAATGATCAAAATGATGACATAATGTTATATCATTGAATTTGTCTTTTTGTGCACAATAGTAATATAGAAAAAAATATAGTTGTATTGAAAAAATAAAAAAATAACTAGGTGGAAAGAAATTTCGATCAAACGAAGAGTTGATCTTTGACGTTGTAAACGGTTATTTTGGAGACCTCGAAGAGAGTCACTTCCAAAAAGGAGTCGAGAAACTGCAGAAACATTGGATCAAGCGTATGTTGAGCTTCAAGGAGATTATATTGAAAAATAAAATACATAAATAAAATAAAATAAAATAAATAACTTGAATTAAATTTATTTTGTTTTCATCATTGTCATTTTGGAAACTTTTCAATCTACTCTCGTATATCATTTAATTGTGTAAACGAATAAGAAATGTAAAAAATTAACCTCCATTGATGCCAGCCTTCATAATGCGTTGATTAGCAGCAGAATGTTCCTCCAGTAATTTTACGACTGTTTCGTGACCACTTTTAGCAGCTACTTTAATAGCGTTCCGCCCGCAGTGATCAGAATGACTTGGATCAGCTCCATGGTCTAAAAGTGCTCGAACGCAGTGCTCGTGCCCTTCTTGAGCGGCAATACCTACAAATTTTATTTGTTTTATCAACATTTGCACAAAATACATATTGTATAGAGTGTTCCGCCCGAGAAGATGCTGAACGCGCACCTCTTCTCCTCTCTATAACCCAGATATAAATTCTCTTGTTGATGTGTACGATAGAGGGAGAAAAGTATTAGAAAATGAATATTTGAAAGGTTGACATGTTTATTATTTTTTTTGTAAATAAAGGCTCAGTTTTTTCTTCTTCAAAAAAGAGCACCGAATTAATTTGCGCACCTAATACGTGTAAATACGAGTCAGATTCATCACATATGTCGAGAGCTGATTTTATATTTCTTTCTCAAAATCGTTTTCTTTTAAGAATTTGAAATTATTTTACAAAAATGCGTGTGCATGCATATCTTTTGTTTGTTTGTTTGTGCGTGCGTGCGTGCGTGCGTGCGTGCGTATGTAATTTAAATCATATTATTTTTCATATAATCACAATATCCTACCTAGAGCTGTTGCACCTTGATTGCAAGTATGATCAGGAGTGGCGCCATTTTCTAACAATAACCTGACGATTGCTGCATGTCCTTGCCAAGCAGCCAAATGAAGTGATGTTCTATTTTCATTGTCACAGGCATTTACAGTAGCATTACCTTCTGTTAACAACAATGCTACCATTTCCATATGTCCCTGCCAAGCGCTTACGTGCAATGGTGTCCTACCCTGAAGAAGAATTACAAATGTTTTAATCCTTATCAGTATCTAATTCTTTATCATGTGATTATTTCACTTACTTCTGAGTCTCTACTTTCTACGTCAACATTCGCGTGTTCCAACAGAAACCTGGCCATAGTTAATCTGTTTTCTAATGCAAGTATATAAAGAGTGCTTCTTCCATCAGCATCCTTTGCGTTAACATCAGCATTATGAAATAATAATGTTCTCACCGTATCATAATGTCCTTCCAAAGCTGCTAGCCTATAATAAATAATATATATACACAACATAAGATTTACCAGTCAAATCTTATTTATGCATGGTCTCATTTTCCATGACGACCTCAAACTATCTCTTGAATAATGCATTTAAAAAAATTTCATATAAAAGTTGGAAGATTTAAAAGGATTTATTCACTAATCTCATCAGTTTGACCTTGATTGGAAGTATCAAGGTCAAATGAAAGCCAACTTTATATTTTTTAAGCGCAATCATATTCATATCATTTTCTTAACACAAATCGTTTATTTCTGTTCATTCTACATATAAAAGAAGTAAGGGTAAGATCATCAAAAAGTGAATACTTTTAACCCTTAGCTGACACACGTCAAAATAATAACGTACGTGCTATAGGGGGTATTTTGGATCCCAGCCAGAAAAAATGTGTATAATTGTTTTATTTATCAATATTGAGTCAAGTCTCGACTAATACTAGGTGACGCCACAGAACCAAATTTGGCGTGCAGCTATGAAAAATTTGCGTTCAAAAACACTCTGGGGTATTTTTAACCCCGTGTGTCAGCTAAGGGTTAAATATTTTATTTTTTATTGTGATATTTTTCGACACAAAATATGAAATATCTCATAAAGTATTCACTTTTCGATAACCACCTTAATATTTCTCCTCTCCGTAATAATAAATCGATTACTGATCATATTAATCATTGCACATTGGTGCATCGATATATTTACAAAATGCAATGAATATTTTTAATTTTTTTCTCTATATTTGCTTATAGCGGTTGATTCTATCAGCGGTCATTCCAAGTACAATAGTATTAAGATGATATTATCGAAAAGTGAACATTTTATAAGATATTTTATATATCTTGTACTGAAAAATATTATAATAAAAAGTAAAATATCTCGGAAAGCATTCACTTTTCTATGATCTTACAACACTAACTACTTTTATACGTAGAATGAACAGAGGAGTCAATTTGTGTTAAGAAAACTATATGATTCCATTAAAAAAAATGAAGTTGAACTTCATTTAATGTCTGTAAAACCCAAAGTCAAACTCTGATAAGATAATCAATAAATAAATCTTTTAGATACTCCAACTTTTATATGAAACATTTAAAATACATTCATAAGATATTTGAGATCATCATTTAAGAGAGGGTCCCGTTAGCGCATGGTGCGATAATCCACATCGACCGGTGCTTAGAATCCCTTTCCGCAGAGCCATCAATTAGAAAATTTTATATTATTTTATATTAATGATAAACGTTTAGGATCTTACGTTAACTATTTGCACAACTTAGATCGGAATGCAAAATGCTTTCTATAAGTTACTGTTTAAGTTACATTCGGAGATCTGAATTTAATATTGGCAAAACCATTAAACATTTTTTGGAGTTTTAAATCAGTTAGTATCATCACTAACTGTGATCGGCCTCCCTCTCATATTTTACATAATAACCATAATAACCAAATTTTAACTAATGACCCATCCTACTGCCAATTATTTCGCTGGCTATTTTGAGTCCATATATAATGAGAGTAATAGCCATGTTAAGTGTTGAAATCTTGATCACATTCTCAATATTTTTGACATTGGTTTCGAGATCGGTAAGGTCTTTAATTGTTTAAACTCTCTGTTTGTAAAATAATGGACCGGGAGTGGATAACATTCCACCTCATTTGTTATAGATACAATAGGAGTCATTATTGTAATACCTGATTGCAGTTTTGCCATCATGAGCATGCTGATCTATAGTAGCATCATGTCGTTCCAGTAATTTTTCTACCAACGATGTGTGTCCTTCCTGAGCCGCAAGCATAAGTGCGCTTTTTCCGTCATTATCTGTCTCATCAATCTTCGCACCAGCATCCAAAAGTGCTTCACAAACATCAATGTGACCTTCGAATGCTGCGTAGTGTAAAGGAGTCCAACCAGAATTGTCCCTGTGTTGTTCGTCTAGCCCTTAATATGAAAATACATCTCTTTACACGTTTGTGGATTATCAAGTTAATAAAACAATAATATTTGTTTTACTTAAATATTCGTGACATATATGTGATAGTCGCCTTACACGCTTTCGTGCTAAAAGCGTATTATTTTATCTTTATTGTTTATTTCATGCCGAAAAAAGAATGATGCTTTTAACAAGAAAATGCGCAAGACAAGTTACTTAGCCGTAAAGACATAAAGCCGCTGATTATTGCAGCTACCTAAACGACAATAGCTATACAGCTTATATACCAGCAACAAATAAAAGGATATAAATAAGAAAAAGTCATAAATAATAGCTGGCAAACTCTCTCTCTCTCTTTCTCGTAAATTTGAAGCAATACAAAGGAAACACAAAGAACGGATTTCCAAATGCACTTAAGGATTCATATGTGATGGGTGAATATATATATATCTTCATAAATGTATATGTTTATGATATAAATACCTCTATCAAGCAGCTGTTTTACAACGTCTGTACAGCCCTGAGCAGCAGCCACGCTAAGGACAGTTCTACCTTCGTTGTCTATACTGTCAACGTAGCAACCCCAGAACAGTAAAAGAGCAACAACAGATCCGTGTCCCATGCTCGCAGCCGCCCACAAAGGCGTCCTTCCTATTACGTCGCAATGATCTACATCTGCTTCATTTTCCAATAGTAGTTCACAAACATCTCTATGACCTTCAAACGCAGCGACTAATAGTGGGGTCATTCCATCTTTGTCTTGGTGGTCAACGATGGCACCTCGCTCTAAAAGTATTGTGACAACCTATGATGGAAAATGAATCTTTCTATTAGTATAACATTTACAGTGGCTCCAGCTTTTATCATGATACAACAACCATAAAAGGGATAATTCCTCGTACAAATATAAGACCGAAGTTGTCCGAAATGTATATGTATATGCTAAGTTCCTTTTTATCCCTAGGAGAAGATTCTTATTTTCCAAATGTTATTAATTATTGATTGTTAATAATTAATTTTTATTATCTTTATTATTATTAAATTATTATTATTAAATATTTTATTATTATTATCATTTTTATTTATTATATCGATATATAAAATTTAGCAAAGTGGTGGTCCCCAAGTACTCCCAAGCATATTCAACAGACAATTACCCGACAAAAAAAAGGTACGTGGAATCCATGTTTCTATCACGTGGACCAAAGCTGCCAAATCGTGAGATTTCTGGATAATGATTCACGTGATTTTTAGAATTACACTGATCAAAACACAATCTAGCACAAATATAAGCATAGTGTGCCGCAAGTTTTATATTCATGAAATGCATTATATAAACTGTCAACCATATGAATTACGATTCAAAAATCCCACGATCTGGCAGCTCTCAGATATGGACTAGCGACACGTGTTATTCACGTGGAAAACTGAGTGAATGATCTGCTCGAAAACAGTACTAGAATCAATGTGGATGAGATCATCGTGATTCTATGCGTACAAATCCATATAAAAATTCCATAGACTTTCCAGTGAGAAATAAAAAGTAGAAATAATCGAAATTTGATTATCGAAAAGAAGTCGAAATCCAACATTGATTCGAAATTCAGACGATCTCGGTTTTGAGAAATTTTCGACATCAAAATCAGCTTGATTTCAACATACAAATATAGTTCATTAATATAGTTCACTAGACAAAAATATGGTGTATACAAAAATTAAACTGAATAAGAAACTTTTTGTACCAAATGTCAGGAAGACCTATTATTTATCGTACCGTCCCAACGCATTTTTTTTGCACGCTTTTATTGACCAGCATGTAACAGAAGAAAAAGAAGCCTTTCTGAATTAAAAAACGTTAAAATAATTAAATGAATTTTCTTTAAAATAATAATCAATTATTAAAATAATAATAAAAGAGTGTGCAAAGTGTTTGTTGGTATTAAGTAACCTTTAGGTCTTTCAAGAAAAAAATATCAAAAAAATACCTTTTATTCCTTTCAAACCAGAATATCGTCTTAAAACTAAACAATTTCTGTCTGAAACATGTTTTCAGATAATACATTTTTTCCGAAATATTTCAAATGGACATATAAAATCATGCTCTATGTCAAATTTTTATAAAGTTACTTTAAGAGTTATTTTTATTTAATAAATATTAATAAAGAAGAAAATACTTTTGCATATCCATGGTTGGCAGGCACGCAAAGAGCAGCAACGCTGAGCGCAGTTCTACCATCGTTATCGGCGTGATCAATTTTAGCTCCAAAATCTAAAAGATGTTCTACAATCTCACTATGGCCCATATATGCAGCAGCAATCAGGGCAGTTCTACCCTCGTCGTCTGTTCTGTTAACGTCTGCACCATGTTGTAAAAGTGCTTTAACAATATCTTCATGTCCACCCCATGCAGCTGCTCTTAGTGCTGTTCGTTGATCCCAATCTGCGCAATCTACCATTGCCCCGTGTTTTAAAAGTTGTTCGACCACCTGTGAAACAAAATATATGAGGAATGACGTAGCGTTTAACTGTTTAAACGAATATTCGTTTTATGAGAGTGTCATTTAGTCGTAAAGTAAAATTTAACAATTTTTTTCGTGCGTATATTGTTAAGTGTAAAACATTAACTTTTATGTATCAGATAGTATCAAGATTAAAGTGAAGTGGTAAGTTGATTACACAGTATGTCCCAGTGAAAAGGTGTCAACAAATGAAATACAAGGTATTATTTATTTTTTCTTTATATTATTGATTATTGATCAGACTTCTTGTGAGTCAATATACCACTAGGAACGATCGTAAAAAAACTTTCTGAAGCAGTCTTAAAAAGCAGATTTTACATAGTATCTGCTCTAAATTTTTTTCGACAGCTTGTTAAGTGAAATATAACAGGATTTGTTAACAGGACATGATTATTCTGTTATCGTTTCAACAGAGTTTCTAAAAGCGATTTCGACTTTAAGGCCTCTCCCCCCCTCCCAATGAATGCTAGTATAACGAATATTAGATCAATATATCACCAATGAATTGTTCTATTCATTTACTAAACTATCATTTGAATGAAATTTTGATATAAGAAAAATGGCTTTGATTCTTACTTATATTTATTATGATTGTATATCTTAAGAATAATTTATATTCATAGTTTATTATATACTATTTAAAAGGAGAATAGATGACCTTCAAAAACCAAAAAAGTATTTATACTTAGATCATTTTAATTAGTTTCATCGGCATCTATTGACAACATTGTATTACTTTTGTTTTAATATGATTAACAAGAAAAAATATAAATGAACTTTGTTATTCAGATAATAATGTTTTGAGAAATGTGGGATAATTAAATTTATTAATTGTACCTGAATATGTCCTCCCCAAGCAGCAGCTCTAAGGGCGGTCCAACCATCGCAATCCGCATGATCTGCCTTTGCACCAGCAGCTAAAAGGACACGTACTACATCTCCATAACCATGCCTAGCAGCTAAATTTAGTGGTGTTTGTCCATGTCTGTCAGCTATCTCCAATTTTGCCTACAAAATAAAAAATTCATTGGTGAATTATTTTAATAATATTATTAAATGATGCGGTAGCGTCATGATGAAAAATATATAAAAATCGACAAACCAAATGTGACTATATTATAACAGAACAGACGACAAAACGAACTTTGAAATGAGCTCCCAGATAGATTATTCGGTATTTTTATATCAAACATATTTCTATTAAAAATACTTAAAAGCCGTAATTAAAAATTTAACGTCATTTCTCTAATATAATATTAATGCAAAATTTTTAATTCTAACTTGATCTGATTAAAATTGATACAACCAATCTCAAGGCCTCAAGACTACTCTTCAGCCAAAAATGAAATTTCCTCCATTTCCGACATTTATTTTTCAGGTATATAAGCATACGACGCAAAACGACGTTGTTCCTCGAGGTGCATTCATAATGTTTATATATGACACAAAGATATGATGAAATAGATGAAAATTGAGACACATGTGCAAAATAACAGAATTTCGACAAAAATTTCGACAAATAATTGGGTTGTCCGGTAAGTTCAGAAAGTGCGGTTTTTTTAAGTAAAATTCAAAGACATTTTTTTATATATTCACATATATATATATATATATATATATATATATATATATATACATACAAATATACATATATTTATTTATTTAATCAACCACATATGTGCCGTTCTGTTCCACTACCATTTGCCATCTTTGAGGAAGCTTCATGATTCCGGATTTCCAGAAATCGTCTCGAATCGATGTTAGATTTCGACTTTTTGTCGATCTCCACATTGCGATATCATCTCGATATCATTTTGATGATCATTCTTATTTCTCACTGGATAAACTTCTCCAGCGGACTACTACAAAACATCCAGTAAAAGTGCATGTTTGTTTCTTTAAAAAGGGTTGTACTCTTCACTGATAACCTTATGGAGAGAATGTTAAAAATCTAAAAAAAAAGGCTTGTTTCCATCTGCCAAGAAGTAGTTTAGATTAGGAGAAGAAAATTGGATTCCCCTCAAAAAGATAATGATCTCAGAAATATCACAGTTATCTTTGCGTGCAATAGAAAAACGAAAATGGCATCAATGTAAAATTTTAAGCTTTCGCAATGTGGATAAACATTTGATGTGGGACTTCCGAGTTGGCGCCGCGAGTATTTGTATCCGACGTTTTGTGAACATTTCAGTTCACTTCTTCAGGATGAGGATCGACATGAAAATTCTTTCAGAACTTCCATAAGATATTCACTTCTTTGGAGGACTAAAGTAAAAACCATCTTCGGCAGTTGTTCGCTGAGAAAACGCCCGAGTTCTATGCTCGAGGAATTATGCAGCTGCCCGAAAGATGGCAAAAAAATTATAGAAAACAGCGGCCGTTACATTATTGATTGAAGTTGTTTTTAAATATAAATAACCTTCCTCCAATTTTGAGTTAAAAATACGATATTACTTTTTTTCCATACTTTTCATGATATTAATAGATAATAACATTTATTCAGACCAGTAGAGTAATTAATATTTTATTTCATATTTTGTCACCTCAGATATACTCAGATGTCACCGCACATGTACTCAGCGCAGGATACTATTGTTTCTTGACTTCAAAAAAATATTTCATAAAAATCTATTCACTAAAGTCTGATAATGAGTAAAACATTTTTAAATATTACTATTCCTGAGAATATTTTTGAGAAATCTCAGCAGCATTTATGAAATTTTTATATATTCATTTTATATTAATTGATAAGTATTATTAAAAACATTTTATTACATATAAATTTTTTACTTTTATCCATTTAGCATATGGTTTAACTTTTGCAGAGTCTTTCTTTTGTATTTTTTATATAAAATAATTTAAAACATAAATTTCTACCTGAGGACAGGCTGAAAGTGCCAACTCTAGTAGAGACGCATTGCCATCGGCAGCTAAAGTGTGTAACACTGTCCGTCCATAAGAATCTGTTTGATTAATATCACCGCTTTCACCAAGAAGCTCAATTAATGGTTCACTTGACTCATCTACAGGACTTACATCTTGTGAAACCTGTTTAAAAGTGAAAAACAATTATTCTTATCAAAGTCAACTATAATTAATATGTTAGAGAAAATAATAATTATTATTATATAACAATAATTGAATGCGTGAGAATATGGCGAATCATCTTAACCGAATATTAGCAAAATTAAATTTGACAAGAAATTGCCCAATAATTGAGAGAAATATTTCAGTTATATTCAGTTATTTGTTCGAAACATTTACACATATAATTGTATCTGAAGGAGTCAAATTAATTATAAAAATGTAGAAGTATTCTTAAATTATAATTTAGGAATATTGTAACGTAAAATATTATATATTCAGTAAATGAAATATCCCGAAAGAATTGAATTTGTTTAATTTTGGACAAATATCAATTTCAAGATTTATTCGGATCGGTGCATTGTGGCATATCATTTCAGCACAATTACTGCGAAATTTTTCATCAACTCATGACGCTATTATTTCCACAATGTGCAATGTTTCCACAATTCATCTATCTCCGGATATCAAGACATCGACAACATTCTAACATTACGCAACAGCAATAATTAGGATTTAAAGATATCGTAATGTGTAGAAATAATGAAAAAGTAATAAAAAAAGTGAAAATTACCTGACTAGAAGGAACAATAGCATCTTTAATAACATCTTCTTCAACTTCGATCTTTTCGGAAGGCTTAGCACCAGCATCGATTAGTAGTTTCAGGAGCTTCATATCTTGCTTGGGCCAAAGAATGCATTCAGAGCTATTTATATAACAGCTTTCGATTGGAGCGCTGCTATCAATTATCCAGAGCGTTTGAAGAGTGTGGGTATCCAGGATACCAATGGTATTGGTTGTATTGTTCAGTATTGCGCGTTGCAGATGTTGAGCTAACACGCAAATCTCATCGGGATTAAGCTCAGGACCACGAAGCGTGTAATAAGCCGCCAACATGGCATGACCTTCAGTGACTGAACAAAGATATTTCTGGGTACAATGCTTAACATCCAGCAACCATTCAGCAAAGCTGTGATGAAAAAACATTAATGCGCCGGTACGAGAGACCGATATTATTCTGCGCAGGAAATAAAGTCGGCGATTAAAGTCGTCCAATGTTATATTGATGCAGGCTGTTTTTACGCTTTTATAAAGTATATCCTGAGTAATAGGTAATTTAGCAGCAAGTATGACATTCAGAAGAGGCTGAACTTTAGCGAATTGCTTCCTGCTGAAAAGCCGTTGACAAAGCCAGAGATATAGGCCATTCAAAGTTCCTGGAATCTCACGTACTTCACGCAAGATAATAAAGTTCTCCGCCACACCGTCAAGAACTTTCTCTAGATACAAAAAACAGCCGTTACTCTTTATATGCAGTTGATTCAACATTTCGGCGGTATCACGTGAGATGTGTTGCCTGAAAAACGTTTATAGAAATATTAGTAAAACAATTGATCTGATAAACAATGTTAAATAAATTGTATGACTGACGTACATATAATAAGCCATATAATTTGATTACATTTAACATATTCAATATTAGTAAACTGATAAAAATTTTTATTCTTTAGAACAATTTAGTTTAAGGAAATTCGCGAACACATATATATACGTGCGTATTACCTACATTTTTATAAAATTTCTTTTGTAAGTGTCACTTGTAAACTTTTCAACATATTTAAAAATATTCAGTGTCCTTTTAGTAATATAGCATGATTTGATTAATTGTACCACTTCTTGTTTGAGACATGATGAACCAAAACTTTTGATTCAAAATCGGACATTTCATATTTAATGGCCTAATATATCATTATTAATAATATTAGTAATGCATTGTTTAAAGTGGAAAGTAAATATATATATATATATATATATATATATA